TTTCTAGCTTCAACTCCTGCCACTTGTCCCTGGGACCCCATAATCCAGCCTCACTGTACCACCTTATGCTTCTGGGATTTTGCGTATTCTACTCTCTGCATCCGGAAGAAGAGAACAAGTATAAAGGAGTGCATTCTAGCTGGAAGAAACAGTATTAGCAAATGTCTGGAGATGACAAAGCTCAGGCGTAGATGGGAAGCACCTTGCCCAGTCAGGCTAGGAGATTGACAGTGGGTCTGCGTTAGCATCAGAGTGCCCCAGAGAGCTTCTAAAACCACAATGCTTGCCCTCATCCTGAGGTGCTTCATGGTGGGGCTGAGCTGGGCCCAGGGGCCTCCATTTACAATTAAGTTCATGAACTTGCCACTGTGCGCTTACATGGGCAGCACTGTACAAACAGTTTGGTAAGGCTTCATAACCTTGGTATATCAGTGTCTCACCGCTGTGTTTGTGTCGATGTGTGGCGGTGTGTTGCTGAGTGGTGTTCATTATTGTTGTTGCGTCTTCTTGTGTGTTGTTGTGAGAATGTTTGAGTTTGAATTAGAGCAACGAACAAACATTAAATTTCGTGTTAAACTTGGAAAGAGTGGAAGTGAAACCAGGGACATGTTTGTTCAAGCTTATGGGGATAATGCCATGAAGAAAACGGCAGTGTACAAATGGATTAAATGTTTTTCTGAGGGTAGAGAACACGTCACTGATGAAGAGAGTTCAGGGCAGCCAGAACAAGCAGAACTGATGAAAACATTGCAAAAATTCATCAAATTGTGCGTCAAAATTGTCGGCTGTTGTGAAAAGCATAGCAGACCAAGGGAACATCAATAAAGAAACAGTTAGGAAAATCTTAACTGAAAATCTTGGCATGAGAAAGGTGTGTGCAAAAATGGTCCCGAAGGAGCTCACGATGAACAAAAGCAGAGTCGAAGTTTGCTATGACCTCTTGGAGAGGCAAGACAATGCTTTAGGCCGTGTTATCATTGGTGATGAAACATGGGTGCACTAATATGACCCTGAAAATAAGTGTCAAAGTGCACAATGGAAGTCAGACAATTCTACATGAACAAAAACGTTCCGTCCATCCAAATCAAGAGTCAAAACGGGGCCGGCCGAGTGGAGCGATGGTTAAGAACTCGCTTGGGATGCCAGAGGGCCCTAGTTCGGATCCCACATATGAGGGCCAGTGACACTGCCCTCCACAGCTAAGATGCTGAACAACAGCTCAACCTGGAGCTGGGCTGCCG